TTGAATTTGTTCCAAGTGATTTGAGAAAGCAGATATGAAACATATTTGAAAAATGTGCTGGATAATTTCTAAGCAGTTTCGATCCGTGGTTGTATTATCCTGCAGCTGAAAACCCAAACCCCTTTTTCCAGCTGGGGAAGAGAAAGGGGAACATTTGCTCAGAACACCTACCTGTCAGGGCACTTGAAGCTTCTGGAACTGCTGGAGTCATCTTTGATGTCTGCTTAGATTCCAGCTCAGCTAACATTTACTGAGCATTATAATGAACTAGAAATCTTAATGTATTACTAAGTCAGTCTTCACAAAAAATCCCTGCGGGATGGGAGTGCTGCGGCTTGCTACTGACATGCGGTAATTTGGGTTTAGAGAAGTGAAGTGCTTTGCCCAAGGCCACCCAGCCACTTTTCCCTGGCAGTGCAGGGATGTTAAATACATCATATGTTGTCGGCTGGTCCCTGGTCTTCTGATTGAATCCAGAGCAATGCAAAGGATAAAAACGATGCCTGTCTGACCTGGGCAGACTTCAAGGTCCTATTCCTCGGTGCCACCTTCACTGGGGATGACACCCTTCAGTCGACTGAGGAACTGAAAGTAATTAATTATCAAGAGGTAAGTATACGATCACCAAGAGTGGCCTCTTGAGCAATGAAGTTAGGTGCAGGCACTTGTCATCTCAGATTAACCGGGGTCTCTAGGAACGTAGCCCGAGTTTCCATAATACTCTTTGTAACTCATAGCAACCCTAGGCAATTGTCTAGATGGAACTTTGGATAGGCTCTGAAGTGCTTTATAAGGATTCAGCTCATTATATCAAAGTCCATCTTTATTCCTTTTCCCATAAGAGACCAGTGGAAACAGTCCTCCCTCTTTTGGGTGGAAGGAAGTCATTTGAAGGGAGCTTTCCCAGAGGCATTACATGGCAACGAAGCTCCGCTCTTTGCTAGCCCCATCCTGCATGAGCCTGATCTCTATCTGCACAGCTTTTTCCCTGTCCCACTTTTCTGGCCTGAAGATTACAAGAATCTGTGTCCATGGAAAGGATTAGTGTCTGCAGGAAATCTGCCCAAAGCCAACTCACAGTGTAAACTAGAGACAGTTACTGATAAGGTGAGGGTGACTCAGTCTATGGCATCAGGAAACAGCCCACTTAAAATGTAACAAATGTAAAATGATCTGTAACCTGGAAGTTTTAACTTCAGAAAGTCTGTTAAAATGAGAGGAGATCATATATTGATAATAGTATGACAAGTACAAACAGTTGTAACCCATATAAGACATGAAGCAGAATTTCCCTGGCCTGCTTGGTTTTCATCCTCAATCCACATCTGCCTGATCTTTACAGCTGAGGCTACTCTACCAGGCCTCAGAGGCTGAATCTGACCTCAGCTGCTAGGACTTCTCAGGCAAGGAGTTAAGGCCCCCTTGTCTGAGGACCCGTGACAGATTCACTTTGCTGTCCACCCAGTCTCGAGGGGCACCATGTATGGTGGTTACTGGCATGGGTTCTGGATCCACAGTGTCTGGGTTCAAATCCTGACTTCATCATTTATCAGCCCATGGCTTTGGGCAGCTCATTTAGCTTTCTGCTGCCTTGGCTTCCTCATCTATAAAATGGGTATGATAGTTGTGGTGAGGATTACATGAGCTAAGATACATAGGAGCACGTGGTGGAGTGCCTGGCATCTAGTAACTGCTCAGTAAAAGTGAGCTGTTCTTAATGTCGTCATCAGCCCAGGCTTCTGCCTTCATCACCTTTACTGTAATTTTATCTCAGGACCCACGTCCACATCTGGACCCCGTGAGCCTCGAATATCTCTGGCCTGGGCCCTCTCCTACACGCTAACTGGCAGCTCACGTGGCATCCTGTGAGTCCTTGCGGGGGGAGCACACAGGACCAGGCCAGGGCTCCTGGTCTTCTCCTGCAGCATCTTCTTGTGCTCACCGTGGGCTGGATACCACAGGCAACCTGCTGGGCTCAGCTGCCTTTGGGCAACTGGAGGTGGATTTGCTGCCTCAGCACCTGACCCCCCACTGTGGGTCCAATGGCACATGAAGCCCCCCTTGCCTCAGGAGGTAACTGGGCCAGGCTCAGATATAAAGAACTTATTGGTGACCTGGGGCAGGAGGCCCTGAATGATCCCTCACATGTGACTGGTTGGCTTGGCGGATGCATGTGATGGAGTAGGAGCATTAGTGGGGCATTAAGATATACCGCAAGATTATAAACTACAAGCACATGTAAAGTTGGCAAAGGGCCAAAGTGTTTGAAAGGGCTCAGTAATGATCCATTTTTATTACACAAATATTACATACTTATTGCAGAAAAATTAGTGTAATACACCAAAAACTTTTTTTTTCTTTGTGAAAAGAAAAAATCTATAATCCACCTTCCAGAGATAATGCTTTTAACCTTTCTTTCTCTATGTGTGTGCGTACACACACACACATGCACACACACACAATCACTTAACACTTTTTTTCACTTAATGGGTTGTGGACTACTTTCCATGTCATGAAATATACATTTATATCATCAAGTACTGAGCAATTCAGAATGATTCTGTAGATGCATTGGTTCATGGTCTAGCCTCTTGGCATATTTTGCTAATGGAAGAGAAAGGGGTTAAGCAGCCTGGCTGGGTTTTTGTGGTCTGTAGCTTCCAATTCTGATAACTGCCACCAGACTAATTAAGGGTGGCTTCTGGCTGGAGCCTCACTGCCGAGCAGCTTGGCTTTCCATAGGTGTGGTTATTTGAGGAACAGGATATTTGCCCACTTGTTCTGGTCTGTTTCCATTATGAAAAAACTGCAACCCAGTAGCTCATCTCTGGTTTCTGATTAGGGCCACAGTGGGTGGTCAGGCTCTGGGCTCTGTCGCTCCGTCACAGTGACCTCTGGCCGGCTGTGCCTCTTCTTCAGGCCTCAGTGTCTTCATCGATAAAGTGAGGGGTTGGGTCTATCACTGCTCCAACACTGTGATTGCCTGTTAACTAACGCGGAGTAAGACTGAGGCTTGGGGGTGGTCTTTCATTGCTGCTGTGGTGTGGTGCCAGGCTGGCTGGGCCAGAATCAGCGAGGGAGTGCTTCAAGCATATATTCCTGGGCCCTTTCCCTCCCCTCCCACTGGGGTGAGGCCTGGGAATCTGTATTTTTAAAAGATCTTATTTATTTATTTATTTATTTGAGAGACAGATAGAGAACATGAGTTGGGGAAGGAGCAGAGGGAGAAGGAGAGAATCTCAAGCAGACTCCGCACTCAGCACAGAGCCCGATGCGAGGCTCGATCTCACGACCCTGAGATCATAACCTGAGCTGAAATGAAGAGTCAGATGCTTAACCAACTGAGCCGCCTGGGCACCCAAGAGAATCTGTATTTTTAACAAATCACTTAGTGATTCTTTCTCCCAAGTCACCCCACTGATCATATCCTTGTCAAGCTCTGGTTCTGGCCTAAGGGTTGTCAAAAACATCTCAATGCCAAGTCCTTCATGGAGACAGCTGGTGTTGTTGGATGCCTACACGGTTCCGGCTTGGGGGCCACCAGCAGCCTGGCTTCCAGCGCCCGAGGAGACAGCCTTCCCCGGCCTGTTGGCTTCTCACTGATTGTCAGAGCCCAGCCCACCCTGTCCGTCCACCGGGCCTTTCTTCCCCACCAGTTTCGACCACATTCTGCTTCCCATAGCTTCCTGCTCCATATGGTTTGGTTCAGGCTGCAGCAGGGTTATGACCCCCCGGGTGTTTGTACCAGCAGCCTCGCCTGACTGTCCTTCATCACGCAAGAGATGCTTTTCCTTCCACCTGGTTTTATTCCTCCCTTTGTTCCTTCCTCTTCAAAAGACCTGGTGTTTCTGACATATACCGTAGATTTCTTTATAAAACCTTCAGAACTTTGAGCTACCTTATTAGCAGTTTATTCCGGAGACTTCTTATACACAGGGTTTTTAATATTTAAGGGGCCAGATTCCTTTTCCTCTGATTATTAAAATACACACACACATACCCCAAACTTAAATAAGAGTATACTTAGGTTTTAAAAAGTTAGATCATGCTTTATCCATGATTTGAATTAGAGATTCTGATCTTATTATTGTATTTCATATTTATTTCATGTCACACTTTGCTTATATTTATCATTTATAAATAAGAAAGAGATAACCCACAGGGAGCTGGATCTGGATATTTTCTTTGAGTCATCTAGTATATCAGGATTACCTGGATAATTTGATAAAATATAGATTCCTGGACCTTGTCCCAGACTTACTGACTGACCATCCTTGGGGGAGGGACCCAGGACTTTGCATTTCCTGTGAGATCTCTGGGTGATTCTTTTGCATGCTAAAGGGAGCTGTGGCGTTAGATGGTGGAGAGAATTTAGACAAGATGGGAAGGACACTGCAGCCTGGTGGCCACCAGACCACTTAGCCCTAACTCCAGCCTCTACCCTCACTGGCTGTGTGGGTTCTTCTGTGCCTCAGTTTGCTCATCTGTGAAAAATCTGCAAAACTATCAGAGTGGCTTCATTGGTCACCATGAGGATTAAAGTGTAATATGAGGATTAGTAAGCGTAATATGTTTAAGGCAGCACGTGCACATGGTAAGGATTCTGTACATGCTTGCTGTGAATATTATCCCACGTCCGGGAATGGCACGAACAAAGTCAAACAGATGGGAATGGATGGCCTTTGTGGGGGAGGCGAGCAGACCAATTTGTCAGGAGCAGAAGGTTTCAGTTAGTGGTTTTCAAATTATGGTGCAAAAGCTTAACCTGGGGAGCTTGTTAAAATTTTAGTGTCCTTCCAAAGATTCTGATTTAGCAAACTTGGAATGAAGCCTTGAGATCTGCATTTTAAATTTTTGATGCAGGCGATCCGCACAGTTTCAGAAACACTGCTTTTGGTGGAGAAGGATTGGCATTTAAAGTTGGAGAGGTCTTCTGAGACAGGACCGCAGCTATGAAAAGATGCAGACACTAACTGCATATTTAATATCTGTTTTATTAGGTGTGTCCAGAAAGCAGTAGAAGCATCCGGGAGGTCCAGTGCGCATCCTACAACAACAAGCCGTTCATGGGCCGCTTCTATGAATGGGAACCGTTCGCAGAAGGTAAGACTAGACCTAGCCCTGTCCAGAGGAATTATTCTTGTCTGTTCCCCAACCCTGTTCCCTTCTGCCTGATGCTGGAGGAATTGGTGTGATCCTGATTCAAGCTGCAATAGGGAGCAAAGTATGGCCCCAGGACGTAGGAGAGCCTGCAGGTAGTCTAGCTCAGAGGCACTGATAGAAAAGAGCAGCGTCTGAGGATGACCACGTAAGGGGGACAGAACAGCGTTTGAGGAACTGGGGGGAGCGAAATGTTCAAACCAAGGCTGTGAGGATTGAGTGGGGACGGTTCCCTTTTCCTTGGTTCCTGCTCCAGGCTTCTGTGGTGGCTTCAGAGGACGTGTAGGGTTTTAGAGTTGCCGGTTGTTTGTGTGGCAGGGGGGCTTCACATGCTGTTTCCAAAGCTGAAATGCCATAGGCAGGCATTGGTATCAAGGTTCCTGCCATTTCAAAATGGCAGCAGGTCTGATTTTGAAAGAACTTGGTAATACTGCTCTGGATCCCAGAGTCACTTTTCTTAGTTGAAACCGAAGTGATGACATACATGCCTTTTGAACAGAGAAGTATTAAATTCTGGGAGATTCCTTCCATCCCAGAGAAAGTGGGCTCCAAAGAGGGGAAGGGTCAACCAAAACTTGGGGAGTTAAATACTGGTGGTCAAGTTGGCCAGAAGCGGAGAGTCCAGCCACTCTGAGTGTCCACTGCTGGCCCAAGGCAGTGGCTGGGACCCCTGGTATTGGCCAAAACCCGGAGTGCAAAGTACTGTGGTCACGTCCAGGAGCTGGAGAATTTGTCCTGGGAGAGGGCTTCATAGTGATTTCATCACAAAACCAATGCCCGGGGAAGTCAAACTGTGGGAAGTCGGGTCTCAGTGGGGACCCTGGGGGAAGAGGGAGGTTGATTTCTGCTCTGAAATTGGATGCAAAATGGTTTTTGTCTGTGCATTTTCTTCAGAGGAGAATCTGTAGCTTCTCACAGATTCTCAAAGTGGTCCCATGACCTCAAAACTGTTAAGAACTAACTTGACTAAAAACTTGGGGTTACCAGATCCAAACAGGATGGAAGAAGAGATGAAACATAGTCAGTTGGACACAAATGTGAGGCTGGCTGGGAGGCTAGAGGGCAAGCTTGGGAAAGATGCCTAAAGTGAAGTTTTGATGCCATGAATCAGAGCTTGGCTGTGGCCCTTTTCATCCTGAAAAGCATTGTGTTAAATGCAAGGTGGTATCCTGATTTGGATCCCAGAACAGGAAGAAGGCATGGGTGGGATACCTGGTGAAAGATGCATAAAGTATATAGTTACGTCAACAGTATTGTCCTGGTGTGACTGTCTTAGTTTTTATAAGTGTACCATGGTTTTATAGGATGTTAACATTAGGGGAAGCTGGGTGAAGAGCATACAGGAACTCTCTGTACTATCTTTGCAACCATTCCAGAAGTCTAAAATGATTCCAGGATAAAAACATGTTTTAAAAGGCATCGTGCTCCCAGTTAGCTAGGTCTTATATGCATTCCGATGAAGATAAAATCTAAGATTTGCTTTATACGGGTGAGTAAGAGTGTCCTGGATTGAAACCTTGTGCTTCCTGGAACCTCAGAAGGTGTCCCTATCTGGAGACAGGGTTACTGCAGATGGAAGGTGTTGAGGTCCTACCCGGGTAGGGTGGCTCTTAATCGAGTAGGACTGATGATCTTATAAGAAGAAAGGACACAAACTTCCAGGGAGAGCACCAAGTGACAATGAAGGGAGAGACTGGAGTAATATGTCTACAAACCAAGTAACACCAAGGATTGCCAGCAACCACTAGAAGTTAGAAGAGGCAAGAAAGGATCCTGGCATAGAGCATGGCTTGCCAGCATCTTGCTTTTGGACTTCTGGCCTCTAGAACTAAATTTCTGAGTGTATATTTCTGTTGTTTTAAGCCACCCACTTTGTGGTATTTTGTCATGCAGCCTTAGGAAACTCCTAGAAAGAGGAAAGAACTAGGTTCTGGATTGATTGAGGTCTGCCCACACAAGTAGATCAGAAAGTGGGGGTGGTCTGAGCAGTAGCAGGGGATGCCCAGAGAAGTGAGGCACGAATCTACAGTAAGTGAGCATCTGACAGATCCAGGTCTACCTGAGTCTGTGGTTCTCAGCCCCAGCTGCTCATTAGAATCATCGAGGAGGGGCGCCTGGGTGGCTCAGTTGGTTGAGCGACTGCCTTCGGCTCAGGTCATGATCCTGGAGTCCCAGGATCGAGTTCCGCATCAGGCTCCCTGCTTAGCAGGGAGTCTGCTTCTCCCTCTGACCCTCCCCCCTCTTGTGCTCTCTCTCTCTCTCTCTCTCTCTCTCTCTCTCTCTCTCTCTCATTCTCTCTCTCTCAAAAAAAAAAAAAAAATAGAATCATCGAGGAGCCTTCTGGAAATACTGACGTCTGGGCCCCGTTCCCAGAGATTGTGATTTCATTGGTCTAGGGTGCAGCCTGGGCATCAGGATTTTTCTAAAGATCCCAAGTGATTCTAATGGGTAGCTGGGGTCAAGAACCTCTAATCCCAGGAGAAGGCAGGACCCCATAAGCAGTGGTGGCTCTAGCCTAAATTAAGAGACAGAATCGTGGCTGCGTTTATAAACTGTGAGCTACATTGTTGCGTCAGAACAATGGTGCTCTCAGTGAACATTTGGAGAAGTAACCCAGGCCTTTGTCTGAGCCACACCCTTGCCTATTTATTGCGGTGGATAATAGCTGCTTAATTGGGATTACCTGGGAGGAAGGGCGGATTCTTCCAGCAGGGCGATGAATACTCCATTGTTTTGCCTGGAGTTGAAACGCATGGCTGGACCTTGTCTGCGTAGTTTGGGCTGGTCATCCGCCATCCATGTCTGTCCAAGGCCCCCTACTCCTGTCAGGCCCTCATAGATTCGGGTCTTGTGTCCAAAGCCTGTGTGTTGCAAAGAACTCTTGTATTGGGACACAGAAAAACAGATTCTTCAAAAATCGTTATATACTTCCTGATCGTAAGCCATAAGATTTTGAGAACCAATTAGAATCGTGGTATTTTACAAAGTAAAGGAAAATGCAAAATAGCAGCAGTTTAGAAAAATCAACTACCGTCTACAATGTGTTACTTGGTCTAGAAGATTCAGCATTCTTTGAAAATATTTACCGACATTAATATGTCTCAGGTGCCCAGGAGAGGAGGAGCCCATGGTCCCTGATATTGTATTTACTTTGACTTTATTTCCATAGTTCTTTCTGCTGCTAAGATTGTTTTCTTGATTTTGTCCTTCTTCCTCTTAAATGACTCCCAGGCTGACCTGCGGGAGGAAGACGCTCTTCATGCTTCTGCAGGGCGTTCAGACTTCCCGGCTGGATTTTGCACTGGGCTCTTGGTTTTGTTTGGACGCCTAGTGCTATTCGCATGTGCCTGCTTAGAGAAACAGCTGTACCCACTCAGCCCAATGCCACGTAGAATAGTAAAAGCAGAGTACACTCTGATAAACACATTCATTTTACCACATGCCTCGTCTTCGGCCTAAATCACATTTCCTGGATATGGCGCTCTCTCCTGAGATAATGCCTCTAGGCATTTTTCTCATACCCCCTAGGCCTAAGACCGTAGAGATGATGGCGTCGGAGTTAGGGTGTCCACATGTCCCTGTGTGCCCTGGACAGCAAAGGTTTATGCCTGTCGCCCAGTCCCCTTTCACTCTCAAGATCATTTTGGACAATAAATTATGCGGTCGGCCTAGCTGGCATGGGCCACATTAATAGGAAGACTCTGGTGTAGGTGCTGACAGTGGGGAACATGGTACCTGTTTTCATGCCTAGGGCACTGGGGCTGGGTAGCATTAGAGGCCAAGGTTTTGCCGGGTCCCTGTGGGCTACCCGTAGGTATCAGTCTTCATCCATGAATTAGGAGACAGCTTGGTGTGTGGGTAGCTTAAGTCCATTTTGTGGCCCTGAGGGCTGAACTCAACAGAGGGGAAATCTAAAAGCCAGAGGTGAGGCGGAGTTAGAAGTTGGAGGTTGCTGACCGGTCATATGAGCGGGCCGTGCTATCCCTTAGGATTGCCTAGATTATGCGGCAGTAACAAAGAACCCCCCAGTCCCAGTGACTTCACGAAGCCAAGTTTGTCTCTTGCTCATGCTACCTGTGTAACGGAGTATGTTTTCTGCTCATTCGGAGCCCCAGGCTAGCAGAGGTTGCCTGTCACCTTATGCTTCCATGGAGGCGGGGACAGGGGAGAAGTGAATCATGCATGGATTCTTAAAGCTTCTGCCAGAAGCCATCCCTGTTGTTTCTGCTCCCATCTCATTGGCCAAAGCAAGTTTCTGTCACACTGAACTTCAAGGGCAGCAGGGAGGTGCTATCCCTCCGTGTGCTCAGAGAAGGAGAAATGGAATATCCACAACCTGCACTTCATGACTAGCACAGGCAGGAAGCTGCGACAAAATCCCTCGAGTGCCTTCCATAGACATCCAGGGGACTTTGATCAGGCTGCTTGCAAGACTAGATTTTGCTCCAGGGAAATTAAAGGTGCCACACAGCCTCTCATGGGCACAGGGCCCCAAGCCATTGAGCTCAAGTTCTTCCCCTTGAGTAAAGCTCAGAGGCACAGAGATGGAACGTTGACACCCAGGTGCCCAGGTGCCCAGCTGTGCTCCTGCTCCCTCCACTAGCCCCGGAGGCTGCCCTGGTATGGACACCACGTTTGGGCATGGGGCAAGCTGCACAAAACTGCAAATAGTGGGCAAACAGACCAAACCAGCACTTTATTTTAAGAAGTTTTATTCTGCAGATTTGACTCACAGTGTTATCAAAACTGTGGGACATGAGGCGGGAAGGCTTGGGACCAAGTCCTGCTGGACCCGGGATGAGGATGCTCATGTTTTAATCGAGCAGCTTCATTCTCAGGTACCTGGCATGCTCACCCCCACAGCCCAGCCCTCCTGCAGAGTCTGTGGTCATTATGAACCTTTCCATGAGGACAGGATAGGCCTTAGGGAAACAAGAAGAGTG